TATCCAGAATCTACAAAGAACTCAAACAAATCAGCAAGAAAAAACAAATAACCCCATCAAAAAGTGGGCAAAAGACATGAATAGACTCTCCATGCAGCTCCTTGTAAAATCCAGTTTTAGCCAAGAACCCTGCTAAGCCAGTTTAGGAAGAACCCTCCACCCTCCATATCTGATCACCCTAGATATCTGATGTAAAAAGAAAACAAAAATCTCAGGGCCACCCTCAACTCCTTATGCAAAAGGAAAAATAAAGGCCTCAGGCACCTGTGAAGAACTGGCCCCACAGATCACTTATTAAGGAAATTCCTTGCTGACCTCCCATAAGAGAGGACATGCAAATTGTAACTTAGGGTCCGCAGGCTATGTCTAGCTTCTAAAGCTGAAGTCTGTTCAATTCCACATGAATCATGAATTGCAAGTTTATCTTTACAGGCAGCAGAACAGAGACAAGACAGGATCAGATATTCTTCCACCTACCCAAGGACATCTACATAGTTGATTCTTCCTTCACTCCCTTTTCCTCTTCTCACATTCACCTTACCCTATGTAAAACGTAGATTTTCCTGGGTCTCACAATCGGGTAGTCATTTTTTCTCACTACCCTCACCTCCCTTCCTTTTTTTTCCTTCTTTGTGCCTTTAAATGCTGAAACTTCCAAATTTCCCTTTAGAAAAACAGCCACAGTTTTGTCTGTGGTTCATGCTTTTCCTGGGCACGTTTTCATCTTTGGCTTAATAAACCTCCATTGATTGAGATTTTTGCCGTCACTTATTTGGGGTCAACACCGATCAGGTTCCTTATCTTCCACCATTTCTCAGGTGATGTCTGATCTACCCTGGCCTGTCTTCAGCAAGAATCTTGTTAAGTCAGTTCAGCCAGAATCCCCCTTCTCCTGATCTTTCCTCTTACTACTCACCTCCGCCCTGCTCCTTGGCTATAAATTCCCGCTTGCCTGTGGTGTATTCAGAGTTGAGCCCAATCGCTCTCCTCCACCACAAAATCCCATTGTGTTGGTCCCTATACCTAGCATGATGGTCCTGAATGAAGCCTGCCTTGCTGTGTTTTAATGAGTGGCAATGAGTACTTTTCCTAATTACACAACAGTACAACCCCATCTAGGATGGAGGAAAAGGAGGGAGGCGATGCTGGTGGGTGGGAAGGCTATGAAATGGGGCTGCAGGAGAGGCCAGAGCTGAGAAGAGAGGATTGGCTGCTTCTTCCCAAAGTTTTTTCTTCTGACTCTGCATTCCATCCTATCCTGGGGGGTCTCTGTCCTATTTTTACAGCTGGGAAGGCAGAGGAAATCTCCCATAATCCATTGAACTTCTTGGCAGCCTTTAGGGGTAGAGGGGATCCTCAGCGTCTCCTCACCCGAGGGAGATTGGACAAACAAAAGCCAGCAATCCCACCCCCAATTCTCCTCATGTGTATTCGCATAAAGCCAGTGTCAGCCAACCAGCTCCATGGCTCTTGGACTTATTGATAAGCCTCAGATCATAGACATGCCTTTTGTGATGAGTGTTTGATTTTCTAACGCAGCTCTCTCTATGGTGGTTTTGGAACCACCACCCCATTGCTCAGTTATCTCCACTGTGAGGTGGCTTTGCTATGGCTGTGAGGCAGATGGGACTGAGGGGACACAGGGCAGGCTCTTCCTGGCCCACCTGTTTCCTACCTCTCAGGCTCCCTCAGCCCTGTGTAGGGGGCAGACGGGCAGGGGCCTTCTCGCCCCCTCTGCCGTAATGCAGCTTGCCACCAGAAGGTACTGGTCCACAGGACAGAGAGTGGGAGTGCTTGGATGAGAAGGCCACCAACCCCTGCCACTGCAGGATGTGAGAAGACAGGTGTGAAAGCCCTGGAGCTCCCCTGCCCACTTCTGAGTGAGGGAAGACTTTGGAGAGGCTGAAGATCAGAGATACTGTGGGAAGATTGTTCTGTGCCCTGAGAGGACCCTAGGTTGTGTTTCTTGTGTGCAAGTCATGGGCCTTGCACCAAGTGACCAATCTAAACCCCCTTCACTCAGGACTGAGATCCCTTGCAGGCCACAGGGTTTCAGGACTGCGTGGGTGGGTGGAGCTGGCTCTGGGCTCACTGTGGGACCCTCTCAAGGCAAGGAGAAGGTTGGGCTGTGAAAGGACTCGAGTGGCTTACGTTCTATGCTTTACAGGCAAATGTGCAGTCCCTTCCCCAGCACCTACGCCCACACACCTCAACAGGGTCTAGCTCACAACCACACAAGCCAGGGGCTCATTTTAGAACTTTTATTTATTATTTATTTATTTTTTGAGACAGGGTGTCACTCTGTCACCCAGGCTAGAGTGCAGCTGTGTCACGATATCTCACCACAACTTCAATCTTCTGGGCTCAAGAGATCCTCCTGCCTCAGCCTCCCGATTAGCTAGGACTACAGGCATGAACCTCTGTGCCCAGATAATTTTTCTATTTTTTGTAGAGATAGGGATCTCACTCTTGCTCAGACTGGTCTCAAACTCCTAACCTCAAGCAATCCTCCCACCTTGGCCTCCCAAAGTGCTAGGATTACAGGTGCGAGCCACGGCTCCTGCAGCCAAGAACTTTTAAGTAGAAATATGAGTCAGCACCTGACTGACCTGAGAGGTTCACACTATGCTGCAGGGGCTGTGGACTGGCCCCCAAAGTTCAGGGTGGCCCTGGGAGCTCTCACACCAGGCCTGCTGCTCGCAGGTGTGCTGCTCAGCTCTGGCTGTGGCTGAGTGGGCAGCTGCACCAGCGAAGTTTTCCTGAAGAGTCTCTGTAGGAGGCTTACAGAGGGACTTGGGGAAGGGTCCCTGGGGAAACTCTTCTCATTTGCCTTCCTCCAAGGCAGCCTCAGGGTCTGGCTGGCACAGTGACCACTTTCCTGCAGAAACACTGTATCCTCATATGCTTGTATCAGACATATAGGACAGAATGAGGAAGTTGGGTAGAAACCCGGCCTTGGAGTCCAGAGATTAGGGTTTTATTCTTGGCAAAATGTTATTTAGATGGAAAGGGATATTCTTCTCCAATTTTCTTTTCATTTCTTAATATTGTTATCGATACTGTAATTGATGCATTGAACCCCTCTTACGTTCCAGACACTGTGTTGAGCACCTACCACATTAGTTTATTGAATCTTCACAATCCTGTGAGGGAGGTGCTCTTATTCCTATATGCAGATGAGGAAACTAAGGCTTAGAGAGGCTGAGTGAGTTTCCCAAGGTCATCGAACCAGGATGACTTTGGGCCCAGGTATTATTCTACAGTCTTTTAATCACCCCCTCAAGCGTCTCTGAAGAGCAACATTGATCAGCATGGACTTGACCATGTTCTTTTTTTGGACTAGTTGCTTACAAACAAACAGAAAAATTATTCAACCATTTTTTTCAAACCAACTTTAAGTTTCTTTGGATTTCTCATCATATAAGACATGTCCCACATCTTTGGCTCCCACCCACCCCTACAACAGAAACCCCAGTGTCCACCCTTTTCTGTGCTCTATTCCCATGAGCTGCTCTTGGCTCTCCCACCCCTGGCTGCTCTGCCTTAGCAATGAGTTTTTGAAATGCACCTACAGTTCAACCTCGGCACACTCCCTTGGACACAGTTTAGGTATTATCGCTCCTTCAGCTGAAAGCATTGCAGCTGTTGAAAGCTGGTGGAGGTGACTCTTGATGTGAGCCTTGAAGGACAGGTTGAATTTGGGTAGACAGAGAGAAGTCAGAGAGGTATATGTTGTCTAAGGGTTTGGAGGTGGGGTATAAGGGGTGCCTGGGTCGTGGTGTAGAGTTGGGAATGGGCAGAACCCAGGGAGGGGAAGAAAGTGGTCTGAGATAGAACACCCTGCAAGGGCTAAGGAGGACAGGAGCCTGGATGGTGTGACATGCTCAGGGTGCTTGGCTGGGATGGAGGGGGCAGGGTGCCAGGCTTTGGAGGGAGATGCACATTTTCAGGATCTGTACCATAGAACATGCCCAAGGGAGCTGTGGTGAGAGCCCAGGAGGCTGGTGCACGTGGACCCTCCGCCTCCTCTCGCCAGTGGCTTCACCAGAAGCAAGCTTTGTAAACTCTTTGAGGGCAGGGACTATGGTTATTCACTCTCCTTATCTTCAGAGTCTAGTGTTGAGTCTGGTGCTTTGTAGGCACTCAGGGACTTTCAAATGAATGAAGGGAGGGAGGGAGTGAGGATAGGTCAATAGTAGGACTTGGTGATAAGCTAGGAGCTCCAGACAAATGTCAACAAATCCCTTTCCAGGGGTTCACGTTCTCTGCATTCCCAACTCTCATGGGTCACTGTGCACAAGAAAGCTAGCTCATTCTTCTGGTCTCCTCTGATTCTACTGGGTCAGAATTCTACTAAGCCAGAATTCAACAAAGTCTCAGTCCAGATAAACAAGATAAAACAAATAAAATTCGAGGAGAGGACCTCATTCAAGGGAAAGTTGCTCTGTTTGTCCAAGACCTTTGTCCAATCCATGTATCGCCCCCAAAGTAAATGCTTCTTGTTCACTTGCTGATTAGATTTCAAGTGAAGTTCCTGGCCTGTAAGTTCCCACGCTTGTAAGTTTTTCTTACTGTTGCACATTCTTCAGCAGAATGAAGTCAGAGGAGCCCCACTAACAGTTCTTCATCAGTAACAGGTTCTTCAGAGTCTTGGGCATTACAGAGATGCCCTTTTTAGATAAAGGCTGATTTTAAAAAAGTACATTGAGACAAAACTTAAAAACAATAAATTGACTAATTGCAATCAAAAGACTAGTGTACTTCTAACCACATTTTTGTTTATTTTTAAATGTATTTCCTTCATGATCTTTCTTGTGGTTCACCCTATGTAGTTTGTGTACTTGTTGGAACTTCATGTGTTTTTGACATGGTTTTTGCTGAACTTGATTTTTCCGAGACCCTCTTTCCTCACATGCTCAGCCTTTCCTTCTCATCTGCAGTCGACCAGTTTCGGTGGCAGAAGAGGCCACATCTGCTTCCTGTAGGCCCCTGGCAGAAGCATGCAGTGGTGTCTCCTCCTGATCTGGGCCCAGGGGCTGAGGCAGGCTGCCCTCACCTCAGGTAAGGCCTGAAATCTGACAGAGCAGGGAAGGGGAGAGAGCAAGGTTGGGCTTGGCGTGAAGACCAGGGTGCCTGCGTAGGGAAGGTTCCGAGTGCGTGTCACATCTGTTTGAAGGAAGGAAATGTAATTTTCAGAGTCTTGTGTACCCTCATGTGAGAAAAGGCAATCTCTGAGAAGGAGCTAAAAGTTCTGTTTTGGGTGGCAGATGAAGGACTTTGTAGACCCTTAGGGTTGGGGGTGCCTGGCTGGCCGGCACAATTAAAGAAAAAAGAAGGCATCGGGAAGGAGGAATTATCAGCTTGCTTTTAGAAACTCACTCCTGCTCCATCTTCTTTTCTTTTGTCCTGAGGAACCTTCCAGGAAAGCACTGTAAGTAGTTCTCTGTGGATCAAAAATATCTTCTTCACAGATGACAGAGATTCTACCATTACAGACTGAATTTTTGTTAAATTTATTTCTTCTATATCAAAAATCTTACACAAATATTTCTGAGGGAGGAGGACATAAGTACTTAAAATCGCAGTATATATTAGTTTTTATGATGCTTTGTGAACCTTCTAAGGGTGACGAGATGCCCAAGGCTGCTGGGGACAGGTAAGCCTTGAAGGGGGTGGTTTTGCCTGGGGGAAACAGTTTCTTGCTGAGCCCCCATTCCTCTGGGTTTCTTGGCTTTTTTGAAGGCTTTTCCAGGCACCCCAAATGACAAGCAACCAAACGGCCAGGTGTTATTTCAAAGGATAATGCACCCAGCACAGAATTAGGCTGCTGGAAGATCCAAAAAAACAGAAGAGGTGATGTTGGCTGACAAGGGCTTATATTGCAAGTGGGGAGACAAGATAAGCCTATGAGAATAATCAACCAACTATTCGTGAAGCTCTACGACACAGTGCAGGCATTGAGCGGGAAAGGAAAAGGGAGCCTGGGCAGGGCTGGGGTCCTGGAGAGGTGACCAGCCTTCACGGGCAGGCGAGCAGGGTGCAGATGGGTGGCTGGAGTAGGGGTGTGTGGACAACAGGTGGGGCTGGGAGCCTTGAATGACAAGCATGAGGAGGACTTTCTCTTGAAATGGGGGAAACAGAAAATAATTATAGTCTATGTGGGGGAGCAATGGGGTGGACTGGAGAAATTATCATTCTAACAACCAATTCTGGCCTCAAAGCCCCTTCGAATTTCTACAGGACGGTTGAAGGCTGGCTGTTGACCCGGGACTCATGTGTGCATTTTCCTCTTTCCTAGGAGCTATGACAGGCACGGTAGTAACAACAGGGAACATCTCTGTAGAGGAAGGTGGCTCTGTCATCTTACAATGCCACCTCTCCTCCACCATGGCTGAAGTGACCCAGATCAACTGGGAGCTGCAGGACCAGCTTCTGGCCATTCGTCATGCTGACCTTGGATGGTTCATCCACCCAGCCTTTAGAGACCGAGTGGCCCCGGGCCCCAGACTGGGTCTCACCTTCCGGTGGCTGACCACGAACGACACAGGGGAATACTTCTGCATCTACCATACCTACCCTGATGGGATTTACAAAGGGAGAATCTTTTTGGAGATCCTCAGAAGCTCAGGTATTCCTCCTGGACAAGCTGGCTGATGAAACACTCACTCTAGCATAGACAACGCCATCCTGAGACACCATGTGGAACAGGGCTTCTCAGTTCTGGATCACATTTGAATCACCTGGGAACTCTTAAATAATACTCATGCCAGGGCCCCACCCAGACCAATTAAATCAGAATCTCTATGGGCAGAGCTAGGATGAGATGTTCTAAAAGCATCCCAGGTAATTCCAGTGGGCGGCCAGGACTGAGAACCACTGTTCTTGCATAAGAAGCACATTTTATCTTGCTAGGAAGACCTGTCGCTGAGGTGCCGAGGTTGTGTGCAAAGTGTTCTCATTCATTGATTTATCAATCATGCAAAGTAGAATTCACTGCTAAGTCTATAAAGATTAGAAACTGGCTAAAAACAAGGCAGAGCATGTGCTAAGTGTAAATGTACAATACTTTACATCTGTGTGGTACTTCAAAGTTTCCAAAATGCTTTTATATTCATTATCCAGCTGGACATTTAGGCCAATTCCCCAGAAGCTGGGAAAGGATTAGTGTCATAGCTGAGGGACAGTATAGTACAGTGGTTAAGAGCTCAGGCTGGCAGACAGCCTGGGTCTAAAACTTGGCTCTGTTGCTGACCTCAGCCAGGATTACTCGGCTTCTCTGTGAAAGGAGGATAGAAGTAAGTCCTTACGAGGGGCTAACAGAGGAGTGACTTACCGACTACAACAAAGTGTCCTTAGAACAGTGCCTGGACCGTGGTAAGTGCTATGTAAGTGCTAACTATTAATAAGATTCCAATTTGACTGTTTGATGGAGACCGAAGTTGGGGCTTGGAGTTGCTCAGGGTGGTAGAGCTGATTTTATTTTATTTTATTTTTTTTGAGACAGAGTCTCACTCTCTTGCCTGGGGCGAGTGCCGTGGCATCAGCCTAGCTCACAGCAACCTCAAACTCCTGGGCTCAAGCAATCCTACTGTCTCAGCTTCCTGAGTAGCTGGGACCACAGGCACGTGCCACCATGCCTGGCTAATTTTTTCTACATATATTTTTAGCTGTCCAATTAATTTCTTTCCATTTTTTGGTAGAGACGGGGGTCTCGCTCTTGCTCAGGCTGGTCTCGAACTCCTGAGCTCAGAACGATCCGCGCGCCTCGGCCTCCCAGAGTGCTAGGATTACAGGCGTGAGCCACCACGCCCGGCCGGTAGAGCTGATTTTAATCCAGGTGTTCTGGTTCTACAAAACTCTACCCTCAGAACTTCTATTACTGCCATAAACTGTGTTGGAGATTAAGTTTTAGGAGTTTGCAAAATATGGGTAAACTGAGAGGACACAAAGTTACCTTAAAATTTCCTTTCAAATATTACTTCTTGGCTGGTTCCCACATAGACCAAATGAAACACGCAGTTAAGAGCACAGGCTCTGCAATCACACTGCCCAGGGTCTACTATTGCCATCAATCCCGGTGATCTGGGTAAATTATGTAACTTTTCCTCATTTTCTCATCTATAAAATGTGATGAATAATCTCATGAGTTGATATAAGTAAGGCCTTAGAACAGTGCTAGACACCTAAGCTTAATTTCATACATGCTAGTTACTATGCTATTTATTGCTTCAGGTTAGAGGGAGCCTGGAACAATAAACAGGGCAGGGGACCTGGATTCCAGCAAGAGTAACCAAATGATTGCCTTGACCGTTTGGGCTCTTTCCCCCAGCGTCACATGCCCAAGGGCCCACCATCAGGCTGCAGGAGATGGAGTGAGCTCAGAAGGAAGCCCCTTGTGGGATAGAGGGCCCAGGGACTGGAGACCAGACGGGGGCTGTGTCTGTGCATGTCCAGGCCAGGACATTCAGGGACCGATGCTCCTGACCAGTGTGCTCCTCCCTGAGGCCACAGTGGTACAGCTATTCCCCAGTGAGAAAATGGGGAAATGAAGGTGCAAATTTCTTCCCTGTGTCTCATGGACCACCTGGGGAGAGAGATCAAAAGACATCCTCTTGCACGCCTGTTCAGCTTCCCTTCAAGGCTTTTGGTTTTCCACCTTTTTTGCCTTTGCGGTTGCGGGGACCCCCCTTGTTCCTTTGCTCTCTCCTCTTGTTTCTCAGGTGGGCAGTTGCTTACCTGGGATGCCAGCTCTCCTTTAATCACTTGTATTAACTCCAAACCTGACTTCTTTGTAACCCTAATCTCAGACCTTAGTCCACATCCCTGTCCTAACACTAACTGTAATATAATATTTAAGATATTTCTAACCTTAACGCTAAAATTGAAATTAACCCCAAAGCTAACCTGGCTAATAGGCACGGGCTTAAGTAACCCTTATGCAGTGATGTCGCTGCGCTTCCCCGGGGCTGCTTCCATTTCAAAGACCTCGAAGTCTTTTTTCTGTGATTGTAACCATGAATGGAGGAATTGGTGCTTTTATTTCAAACCAAAAATTCCTAATGAAGTTGATATTTCTAATATCCCCAATTCCCCTCTTGTCCTAGTTCTATCTCTAAATTATCCTTAAACCTAATCAGACTCATTATCATAATCTTCCCTAAACCTTATGTTTTAAACCCCATCTATCTTCATTTACTCTTGACCTACAAGAGAACCCAGCCCTCACCCTGACTCCCAGCCCTGATCTGCGCCCCACTCTGACCATATACTCTTTTCTGGTCCTGTGGACAGCCCTCTGCAGCCCCTCTGATCCCCTGCCGTGTGTTCTCCATGACCAATTTGCCTTCCACCTGCCCTCTTTCCTCCTGAACTAACTTCATGGCTATGGTCCACCAGGGGCCGTCCTGGCCTATGGTGACCTCAGGGCAGGAGGAACACGTTCTGGGGAATTGCAGGGATTCTGCAGGCACTGCCCTTGTCTTAGGGAGTTTGATTCCTTAGCCACCTTTCCAGCAATCTTAGGGGGAAGTGGGGTCAGCCTTCTGCTACACCCTTCTCCTTTCAAGACTCTTCCCTGGACACCTGGGTCCTGCCTGAGCTCCAGGGGAGGAGGTAGGGATGGGATGAAGCAGCTGACTCTTCCACCTACAGCACACGACACTTCGGGCCAATCGTGTCATTTTTCTCACATTCTCCTTGGATTAAATATCACTCATCTCTTTAAAACTCCCCTCCTACATCTTTCTCCTTACATTTACATTTCATGTCAATGAAATTTACTTGTTTATGCTTTCATTCATGCCACAAATATTTATTGAGCATGTACTATGCATCAGGTGCTGAGAAAACAGCAAAGGACAAGGCTGCAGAGCTTAGCTGGAAATAAGTGTTACAGGCTTAAGGTGAAAGGTTATTTGCTTTTTTTTTGTAATTTAATATTAATTTTATTTTAATTTTTAATTAAACATTTTTTATTGGTATGATTATATATATGAAGTTTAGTAAGAGAAAATGTTCACTCTCTGGGTTTCTTCCTGGATGGTATTATTTGTTTCATTTCATGATTACCAGAAATGATTTTGTGGTACAGAGGAAAGGAGTGTTAAAAATGACCCATTCTGGTGTCAAATACACGAGGTATGCCACTGCTCAAGGGCTCAGTTATAGATTTCATGATGGGCCAGGCAGTTGCTCTGCTTGTCCAAAGATTTGGGCTTACAGACTCCAGTCCTGTGGTTAGAAAAAGGAGCTGGCCAAGTCCCACCTCTGTGCCATGAGTTGAGGCTTTCCTGGGGAAGGCAACTTTGTGTCTGGCCTCTGCCACTCACCTCTGTTTTGTCCTCCCTCTAGTGGCTGAGCACAGCACCGGGTTCCAGATTCCACTGCTTGGAGCCGTGGCCACAGTGCTGGTGGCCACCTGCACAGCAGTCATCGGGGTGGTCGTGTTGGCTAGAAAGGTAATGGCTCTGGCTGCACGTCTCAATCACGGCTACCCCCTCCCCTGCCACCCTGGTCCTTTCAGGTTCTCTTTCTGTCAAGAGAGAGCCCCAAATGTGATCTTCCCCATTGCTCATCTATGCAGGATAAGAAATAAACACTCCAAAAATTTAGAGGTAAAGGCTGCATGGCAAGATCAACAGGTTATAAATCCTCTGTTACTTGAGCTTAAGAGGTCATGTGGGTGAAAGAGTAATGGATGGGGGAATTGAAAGATTTAGTTTCTAGTTTTGGCACTGAGTATATGATTTTAGGGAAATTACTTAATCTTTCCAGGTCTCCATTTCTTCCATATATAAAATGGGGATTTGTCTTAGTCCATTTTCTGCTGCTGTAACAGAATACCACAGACTGGGAAATGTATAAAGAAGAGAAGTTTATTTGGCTCACAGTTCTGGAGGCTGGGAAGTCCAAGAGCATAGTGCACCTGGCAACGGTCATCCCATGGTAGAAGGCATCACATCAATGGGGACAAAATTATCCCTTTTATTAGGAGCCCACTCCAGAGATAACTAACTCCGAAAATAATTGCATCAGTCCCATCATAGGGGCAGAGCCCTCATGGCCTAATCACCTCTTAAAGTCTCACCTCTTAGTACTGTTAACAATGGTAATTAAGTTTCCAACACATGGACTTTTGGGGGACACATTCAAACCATTGCAGGATTATAATTCTACTTACTCTATATCACACAGTTGTGATGAACAGGTGGCATATTTCATGTGAAAGCTGTGTAAATAATGAAGAAATTTATTAATATCCTTGTTGTAGCTATTGATTGAGATGAGTGGAAAGAATTTCTACTCTTTGTTTTGTTTGCTCTCTTGGGCCCTTTAAGTCAGCCCAGGTTGCCTTAATTCAAGCCATCATACAAACATTTTGGGGAACACAAGATGCCTGTGATTCCCAGGAGTATTTTCCACCTTTACCCGGAACCCTCCTCCCTAGACCCTGATCCACTTTCCCTCCAACTCTGACTCCACTCAATTAACAGCTCAACTCTGTAGCCCCAATACAGTCATGTGTCCCTTAATGATGGGAGCATGTTCTGAGAAATGCGTCATTAGGCACCACATAAGTGTACATTTACACAAACCTAGATGGCATAGCCCACTACGCATCCAGGCTATAAGGTATAGCCTATTGCTCTTAGACTACAAACCTGTACAGCATGTTATTGTACTGAATAGTGTAGGCAGTTGTTATGCAATGGGAAGTATTTGTGTATCTAAACATAGAAAAGGTACAGCAAAAATATGATATAAAAAATAAAAAATGGTACACCTATATAGGATGCTTACCATGAATGGAGCTTGCAGGACTGGAAGTTGTGCTGGATGAGTCAGTGAGTGAGTGGTGAGTGAATGTGAAGGCCTAGGACATTGCTGTACACTACTGTAGATTTTATAAACACTGCACACTTAGGCTACATTAAATTTATAAAAACATATTTTTCTTTCTTTAATAATAAATTAATCTTAGCTCACTATAACTTTTTTACTTTATAAACTTTTAAACATTTTGACTCTTTTGAAATAACACTTAGCTTAAAACATAAACATACTATACAGCTGTACAAAAATATTTTCCTTCTTTATATCCTTATTCTATAAACTTCTTTCTATTTAAAAAATTTTTGTTTTTTACTTTTTAAACTTTTTTGCTAAAAACTAAGACAAACACACACATGAGCCTCGGTCTACATGGGGCCAGGATCATCAATATCACTGTCTTCCACCTTCACATCTTGTCCTACTGGAAGGTCTTCAGGGGCAATAACACACGTGGAGCTGTTGCCTCCTATGACAACAATGGCTTCTTCTGGAATACCTTCTAAAGGATCTGCCTGAGGCTGTTTTACACTTAGTTTTTTTTTTTTACATAAGGTAGAAGGAGCACACTCTAAAATGACAATAAAATGTATAGTATAGGAAATATATAAGCCAGTAACATAGTCATTTATTATCATCATCAAGTATCATGTACTGTACATAATTGTAGACATTTATAGGACTGGCGGTGCAGTAGATTTGTTTACACCAGCATCACCACAACACACGTGAGTAATGCATTGTGCTACAATGTTAGGATGACCAGGGTGTCATTAGGGGATAGGAGTTTTTCAGTTCTTTTATAATCTTATGGGACCACCATCATTTACGTGGTCTGTTGTTGATCAAAACAACGACATGCTGCACATTGCTGAATTACCCTCTATGGACTATGTACATGGTGCTGTTATTATTGATATATGTATATTTACAGCTACCATATTATTTTTCTCATAATTTCCCCCCATTCTCTCTTGCTGTCTTTTGAATTAAGGTTATTTTTATTATTAAAAAGTCTATTTGTTAATTATGCATTCTTTTGCTATTCTTTTAGTGTTACATTAAATATACCCCTGATTTATTAAAGTTTAATATAAATTAGTACTTTTATCATCTTTTAGATTATGCAAGAAACTTAGAGCACATTTCCTCTTTTTATCTTCGCCCCCAACTTATTGCTAATATTATCATACATTTTAATTCTCTCCATATTTTAAACACCCCAAATAATTATTACTGTTTTGTAAGTCATTATTCATTCAGATTTACCCTTTCTGTAGCTCTTCACTCTTTCCTGCATGTATTATCTTGCAACTGGGATCATTTTCCTTTCACCTGAAGAATATCCTGTAATATTTCCTTTTGTGCAGGTCTGCTGGTGATGAATTATTTTGGTTTTGTTTGCTTAGAAATGTCTTTATTTTTCCTGAATTTAAAAATGATGTATTTATTTTGCTTGGTGTAGAATTATCTATTGGCAGCTATTGCCTTTCAGTACATGGAAAATATTCCAGTGTCTGGCTTCCTACATTTCTGTTGAGAAATCAGGTTTTAGGTTTTCCCCTTTGGTGATATTTTTTTTTCTTTCTAGCTCTTTTAAAATTTTCTTGTCTTTGGTTTTTAGCAATTTGTACGATGATATAATTAGGTCTAGTTATCTTTTTATTTATTTTGTTTGGCATTTGAAATACTTTTGGAATCTGTGGCTTGAAGTCTTTTGTCAGTTTTGGGTCATTAATGGCCATTATCTCTTTATATATTACTTCTCCATTCTTGTTTTCTTCTTCTGGAGCTCTAAGTACAGATATTTTAGACATTTTCACTTTTTCCTCACATGTCTCTTATTCTCTTTTTTGTATTTTCCTTCCATCTATCTTATCATGTTTTAGAGTAGATGTTTTCTTTAGACATATCTTCCAGGTTACTAAATATCTTCTGTGATGTATTTAATCTTTGTTTAAATAGTTTACAGTCTGTCAAAATTCTCTATATGGTCTTTTAATTCCTTGACAGTATTAATCAATTATTTTGACATCTGTGCCTGATAACCCTATTAATTGGATCCTCTGTGGGTTCTTTTCCTATTGTCTATTTTTACTTGGTTTTTGGTCGTATCTTCTTGACTGTTTGGTACTTTTCATTGAGTGCTGTACATTTTACATGAAAAAATGTAACAATAATTTGAGGTTCTTGACCATGTCATCCTCCTCCAGAGAGGATACCCTTTCACTTCTGGCAGGTGGCTAGTCTGGAAGCACTAGTAATTTCAGGTCACCTTGATTAAATCAGTGATGAGCAGATTTAAAGATATACTTCAGTTTCTGTTACTCCCTTGCTCCTAGGGTGTGGTCTTTTGGGATCCCAATTAAAAGCCTGGGATGTTCTCCCTTCCTTAGTGGTTTCTGGACTCCAAATTTTGTTCCTCCAGCCAGAAGCTTATCTGCCTCTCAGTGTACTTTCAGTCAATTGCCTCTGGGAGAAAATGTCCCCATATGCTCATGTCATCTCTCTGGGTTTTACTCTTCTCGTGGATCTTGCTCCCAGTCTACAGAGTCCTCACTGATTTGGCAGATCTCTAATTTCTGCAAACAGATGTTTCTAATATATTGTTCAGTGTTTCTAGCGTTTTCAATAGAAAGGTTGGTTCAAAGCAACATATCAACCACAGTTCCACCAGGAACAGACTCCTTTCATATTGTATTTCATATCTACATTCAAGCACAACAGATTTATCTGGCCCACCTACTCTGGACCTTGGGCTCTTTGGGTCAGGCCTCCTGCCTGAGCTCTAGCCCCTCGGTATCCAATGTCTGACCAGCCACTTGGCCTCCATCTGACCAGGTCACTGCCAGTCCCAGAGAGGGAGGGATTTGGAGAGCTTTGTATTCTTAGGCCCTGGTTCCATTTTGCTTGTTTATTGTGAGTTCTTACCTTCTTTTTCTCTTTCTCCCTCTCCCAGAGAAGGACCAAGCTTTTATTTTATTTTATTTTTAGTTTAACTTCTATTTGACTTTTTTACTCTCATTTCTCCCCTCAAGACATAGAGACCTGATTCCTTCTTCAGACGTTAGAGTTGGATGTTGCTAATTTGGTTCAAAAGGAACTAAAGAGATTCTCCAGGTGGTAGGAAACGATCTTATAATTGGTGATTCCCTGTGAAAGTTACATAAGGCCTTACACCAGCAGATGATTGCCTGGTCTTCTAGTTTGCCTGTAAAAATCTCTGTTGTCTTATGATTCAAACCCTCACTTCTTGGTTATAAGAAAAACGTTGAGATTGCTGACATAACTGGTTCATAGAGATGTGGCTACTTATTCTTCATTACTCAACAGACCTGGTTGGACAAGGTACTGGGGACCCAGCAGTGGCTAAGATGTGGCAGGTGCTATCAAGGAAGCCAATGATATATAGTTATTTTCATTTATGTCTTGGCTATCACAATAGACATAATTAGGAAATAAAACCTCTAGGGGAAGATGAGGACAAGAAAAGTGATTGACTAGAGGGGAGAGGTGAAGAAAATGATGTTTGATCTCTGACCTGGGAAGGGAGTGCTCTGGTGGTTAGTGAACAGATTCCTTGCTGTGGAATGGAGCAAGAGTTCTTTAGAAGCAGCAGAACAAATTT